TATACTATGTTATAATGAGAACTCTTACTTTATGTAGTTATTTAATATTGGCATAATATGAGAAAGAAATGATAAAACTCTCATATTTTGCAAAAATTGTTATAAATTCATTTAATTGTGGATATATCTTTTCATCAACAACCTAATGTAATGTACCTATTTAATGTATCTCTTAAAGATCTTATAACATATTTGAATAAATATTGTAAACGGATGGTTTCTATATCCTATAAAAGGGTATTTCTTACCCTTGTGAAAGACACATTTGAAGAGATTAAATACAATTTTTTGCCATTACCATTTGTCTTCCTTTCTTGTTTAGTATTATTGTATTTTTCCTTTCATTTTACAACACGTTATCAGCACGAGTCTCTAACCAATTGAGATCTACTTAATTCGGAATTTTATCTTTTTTGCCAAAAGTTAATCAATTCTTTTTCTGAGTCAAGTATACATTTATATGTTTATAACATTTCTAATACGATTTTCATAAGTCTTTGATCTCCAATTTAATTATTGCATACATGACTTGATTTAGGTATTATTATGACACTTTACTAGGCATAATAATCAATATGTTTCAAGGTTATATTATTATGTTGTTTATATGCTAATAACTTATGACTCTAAATTAAATACTAAGCAATATGATAGCATGCTGGTTAGAATACTCGTAAGTATTTTTTTGTCATACATTTATGATAAATATTTGTGTGTCATAAAGAAGAATAGTATTGTATTAAATATGCCTTGAAATTCTTACTAAACTTTGACGTTAATGTCTATTGAAACTAGTAAAAAATATTTGGAACAATTAAAAATATATTAAATTTATCCTTTCAATACCTCATGAGGTTACATTCTTTCGTAACATTCCATGTTCATGTATATAATATATTTTATAGTCATACTATACTTGATGAAAGCCCGATGGTGAATACTTAACAGTGAAAGATCCACTTGAATTGTGTATATGTTTGAAAGGGAGGTATGACCACCTCAAGGTAACAATAATGTCAAGGTCTCGTTATGAGTGGTTGCACTTACGATTTCAAGATTATAAAATCGTAACTGAGTATAACTCTATTGTATTTAGAATCACTTCCCAATTGAAATTATGTGGGAAAACTATAAAATATGAGGACATGTTTGAAAAGACTTTAACTACTTTTGATGCCTCTTACATCAGCAATACCATGAAAAGAATTTTTAGAAATACTATGAATTGATCTCATGCCTTGTGGTGGTTGAGCAACATAATGCCCTTTTAATGATAAATCATGAAGTCTGTCACATTGGAACTGCTCCATTACTAGAAAAAAAAATGGAATAGAAGCATACGATCAGTCTAAAATAAGATAAAATAATTGAGATCATGATAATATGTGTGGACGTGACAAGGGCAAAAGACAATATAATAATCGTGGAGGCGATGGTCATAACAAAAAGGAGAACAATATGAGTTCTCAAAATAATAATTGTGGAGGCGATGGTCATAGATAATGCCTCCTGATCTAAGAGATATAAGAATAAGTGGCAGAAGGTGGAGGATTTGTGGCTTAGGTCGCAGGTTCAAGCCCCACACCATGCAAAGCGAAGCCCGGTATTTAAGTGGAGAAGGGTAGAGGGGCGGGCCCATTATCCACCGAGTTTAGAAGGCTGTGATTGGTCCAAAGGACGGGTCACAGACGGATTTCTCGGTTATCAAAAAAAAAAAAAAAATGCCATCGCTTAATTGGCCTTTAGCGTATTTTGACGCATGTGGAACAAACAAATTAGAGTTGTAGTTTTACCTCCAGGTAAATAAATAGTGGTGAGTTTCTAGGTATTTTACCTATTTGTTGGTGACCTTATACTTCAATATGATATACAAATTGTCGTGCAGATATCTTAGAAAATCACCTTAATTGTTGATAAACTAAATAATTATTTGATGTCTACTGTGATTATCTCGTAAGCTATTAGTATTTGAGACTAAGCCTTTGAGTCATATACATATAAATAACCCTTTATTTGTTGCCTAAAAAGGATATTGACAAGTACATTGTCTATGGAGCTATACTTTACTTATAAGAGTAATAAAATATCTTGAAAGATCATACTGAAGCTTCGGAGTTATATTGAAGTCCACACACTTATGAAATTTCTTTATGCCTAAGTTTACAATACTGACCCTCAGTAGAGTATTGTGTGTTCGAAGTACAGTTATAGGAGCCCAAGAGGCTCAAGATACATATGCAGGGGTCAATTGTGCTTAAGATACAGTAAAGCTTACGAAAGATATAGCTCGTTATCGTAGCCAAGTTATCGTAATCTTATTCCATTAGGTTAGTTGTTGTAATTAATATAGACATTTCTTGTTGGGACATATATTCTATCAATTCCATATTTAGGTAAAGTGTAATGATTATTCATATAAGTCATTTATAGCCATATTGCTTGCCTTTAGGCTATTTGATAGTGTGTTATCCCCCTCCGAGCTATTGTGGATAGTTGCAGAAATATGACATTTGCCTACGATTCTAGGTATAACTTGCCTAAGGGGTTATTGAAATAAGTGAAAGTCGACAAGTTATTTTTATTTCCTTCGGGCTACTATGTAGTCAATGGGCTATTATAATTATCCACAGAGTTATATTGAAGCTTGTTCACTTATGGCCTCTCGATTGTCTAGAGGGGGTATATGTTGATGCTCAAGAGGCTATGTTTATATCTAAGAGGGATATGTGATGTCTGTGGGGCTATTATGATATAAAAAGTTCCTAATGGGCTACTGGGACATAATGATGGTCTTCAGAGCTATATGTAGAGTGTATAAGGGGCTATTGAGATGTAATAACTGCCTACAGAGCTAGGGACTACCGATAGAGATATATAGACTAAATTGAGACTTTTTGAGCTTATGTGGTCTTGTTTGTTGTTTTTACCTGTCAAACCTATGGAAGTTCGATTAGGTTGTTGTTTGATTCTTTTTTATATGCTTAGATTCAGGGGTAGGTAGGTGCTCAAGTTATGTTTCTCTCTGATTAGTTGCCTTAAGTACTTTATAATTCCTACTCAGTTATTATTTTGCCTTACATGCTCGATACATTATCCCGTACGGAGGCCTTATTGCTTGGTGTTGTTGCATTCTTATTTGCAGGTCCTGATAGACAAGTACACGGGTCTCTTTAGTCGAGTTCTAGCAGATTGGTCTACTCTTCTTCTTTTGAAATTGCCAAATTTAGAGGCTTAGAAACTTTGAGTTGTATAGATGTGAGTTGTCAGTTGTGTTGACCTTGTTGTTTTGTTCTTTTAGAAAATGGTTGTTGGTCTTGATCGTATATAATTATGTATGTTTAATTTATATATTTGTCGATATAATGGTGGCCACAACAACCTATACAACGTTACTTGATTATAGATATCAAGGCGGTCTCGATGGCCCACACATCATATAATTGTTTATTTTCTTGATTTTATGATTGGTATTACGTTGGTAGGGTAGTTGTTCAGCAAGGGTTGACTCAGGGTCAAGTAATCACATATCTTCATGTTTCTTTTATAAGTAAATACATGGTATTAATTGTTGTTATAAAACTTTCAAATACACATAATTTAATAAAGATTCGATGGTCTAATAAATCAACAATAGTAGTAACTAGATATGTTTCAATATAATTCTTTCATATGGTACAAACAATCTCTGCACGTTGAGTATGATTATTTATTTATTTTTACACAAATTTAAATATGAATAATTTCGCAAAATATAAATATATGAATCAAGTTTTAAATTTAAAAAAAAATCCTAAACTTGAAATTTAAATTCTACCTTAAGGTGAACTTTGATTTGAAATATAAAAAAAATAAAAAAAAATTGTTCAAATGTCATAATTAAACACAATGTCAAATCAAAATTTTAAAATTTGAAGTCAAAATTGCATGGTCAAAAGACCCTTTGTATGTTTTTCTTTTTCTCAGTAAGTTAGACTGAATTTTAGCTAGCGTTTGGCCATAGACTTCCGAATATTCTTAGCAAATATTAATTGGGTGAAAATTTGTATTTGGGAAACATATTTCACTTTTTTAGAAAAATATGATTTATACCCATAAGTTTTAAAAACTTATCAAAACTAACCATAAGTTTGTATTACAAGTCAATTGGATCTTCGTTGCAATAAATAACAAGTAGTGTCCATGACACTAGGAGCAAATGTGGTAGTTTGGAGTGAGTGCAAACAACCATTATTCCATACATCGTGAAGTAGACAAAACACATGACTTTATTACCCTGAGCCGATTGTTCATCATTTTCATCAACAACCATATCATCACTTTCATATTCACCGAATATTTCATCACTATTTTGGTGTTCACGTAAAAAATTATGTAATACAACACAAACAACTACTGTAGAGGGTGTTTTTGTAAAAGATAAAAATTTGGTGTAAAATTTCAACTTTTAGAAGATCCCAAATAATGAGATTTGGCCCAAATACTAGAAAAAACTAGTATTTGGGAATTTGGGATATTTGCCTAAAAAATATTTTGCCAAATAATGGCAAATTGTATGGACAAACACTATTTGCCAAATTTTTCCCCAAATATTACTTGGGAAATCTATGGCCAAACAAGTCCAATATTCTAATCACCTTTGTTTTTTTTTTCCTTAGTTTCTTCGACTTTTTTCAAATTTAGGATATTAAAAGTATCATGTTAGGAAGCATTTTTCTCTGCATAGTTTATATAATGTATATTACAAATTTTACCCTTACGTAGCAAGTCTTTTTGATTGCCCCGCTGACCTTTTATAAAACCACCTTGGGTCGGAGGATAGGGAGGATTTCTAAAAGACATTTGGTTCAAGTGCAACAATCATAATAATTATTAAAGAAGGGAATATGACATGACAACTAACGAGGAAAACAGTACATAACATCCAGACAAGGAACAACAACACAAGAATAGCAAAATAGTGTCATATATCTGAAACACAAAAAACAATAGAAGGTAACATATATAAAAAGCAAGAAAATACACAAATAAAGGTAATACTACGAATTACACAGTGCTCCTCACTACCACCAAACCTGATCATACCAAAAAACGAGATAACACTTAACTACTTATTACCCTTCTACTCTAATCTGACCTCCATACCTTCCTATCTAAACATCAAAAATTTTAACTAAAAGAACTTCAATCAAAATTGAATTTTTTTTGTATTCATTGGGCAAAAGAAGAATACCAATCTGGTTATTTTCCTTTTTTCAGGCACCAAAAGTTCCCTGCATTTCAGGTATAGATTATACTGTATACAGACAACACTTCAATAGTGCCTTTACATAAAAAATGTCAACTGAATCACGTTGCAGTTTCTAACAACACTTGAAAGTTTTCGTCATCTCAGCCAGAAGCTCATAATTTTGCAACACCCAAATCTTCGTGGCGAGAGCTAGAATGATTGCAGTTACCACTGATTACACAAGGATCTGATGATTTTCTTAAAGGACTAACACTGTTTGTAAGTTTGTGATCACCAGTTAGCTTCTCTTGAGCGGAACTTGTTTAAAAATCCCATCTCCTGATACAGAGATAATCCGGAACATCACATTGAGATTCCAGGAGAAGTAACTTGTTCATCCAGAAAACGTAAGTTTCGATCACCTTTACGTTATGGAAAACCAGGTCCAAATACTTCCATAGCCATCTCATGCAGCTGCCATGTCAGTAACAACTTCAATGCTCATCACAGATAGAGGGAGAGAGCAACCAGCCCACTTTTGAGATTAGGATAGTTATTGGTCAGCCACTTTCAATTGATAAAGGAAATTGATTTGACCAGTTTTCTTCTTCATGGACATCTGCTAGGAAAGAATCCAACTTTTTTCTACAAAAAGAGTACAACTGTAGAGGAAGAAGAAGAGAAAGAAGTTTGAAGAGAAGTGTTAATCGCTGTTTTGGAGGTTAAGATAGTTGAAGGTTAAAAGATCAAGCGATGGATCTTTTTCAGATGATTAGTCAAGTTTTTATTGTATAAGGTACTTAGGCAAAGTGACTAAGGCTATTAGACCAAAAAGGCATGATATGGAAATATAATTTGCAACTTCACTAGATGAGTCTGCTGACAAGAATATTTTGTGAGTGGTGCTGTCCCCTCGAAAACCTCTAACAATCATTGCCTACAAGAAACACAAAGATTTAGAGTAGTGCATAATGGTAAAATCTAATACAACCTAAAGAAAGAAAAACTACAACTTAATAGACAAAAAAGATTTATTCTGTTCTCAGGAAATAACAAACACAACCACAAGATGCTACAATCAAATTACTAATATAACGCAGTGAACTAATGTTCTACATCCATCAGCATTAAATCAACTCAGTTAAGTGCAAACTCCATTGCCTATGGTTTTTATCCTATATTAGTGTTAGAATAGAAATAAGTATTTCCTACTTAGAATAGGAATAGGAATAAGAATATGAATCCTAGTTGGAAAAGGATTCCAATGTAGTGTCTATAAATAGGGTCTCAATGTAACTATTTAGACACACAATTCAATATTATTTTTCCCATACATTTCTCACATGGTATCAGAGCATTGGTGAGAAACTTCAAGTCACCGTGTCAAATTCCGGCGACGACGGTTGGGACTGATTTGTGTCATCTTTCGTTCTGAAGGTGTTGTGCGAAAGACAACACCATCACGAGGCTCGGGAAGCTCAGGCAATCGAACCCCAAGAATTTCCACCGGAAAACAACCCCCCACGCGCCGTTCGGAGGTGGAAGTTTTCCGGCGAGATCTGTTCACGCGCCGGCGCATAAGCACTGCTCCGGTCATCTTTTTTTCGAGCTGTTTTCTTCTGTTGGGGTCGCCCAGTATTTCCGACCAGAACCCATTCAGTTTTCTCTAGATCCGATCACCGGAATTAGGGTTCCGGTGATTTTCAGGCAGTTTCCAGCGAAATAAAAAATTTCAGGCCACTATGGGTAGATTCCGGCAGTTTCCAGCGAGTTTCTTACTCTTTTCAAGTCAAATTTCGAAAAAATGTCTTTCGGGTGTGATGTTTTTGGCTCCAAAAATACGGGGATTGGAAGTTCAAGCCTTACAATCACTTCAGAACCATTAATGGGAAGTTCAAACTATCTAGCTTGGGCTTCTTCAGTTGAGTTGTGGTGTAAGGGTCAAGGTGTTCAAGATCACTTAACAAACAATGCTTGCGTTGTAGATGAAAAGACAAAGTCTAGTGACGAAGGTGCAAAAGCCAAAGCACAATGGGAGAAAGTGGATGCCCAATTATGTAGTCTCCTTTGGCGCTCTATTGATTCTAAGTTGATGTCCTTGTTTCGCCCATTCCAGACATGTTATTTAGTTTGGGAAAAGGCGCGTGCTTTATACACTAATGACATAGCTCGATTCTATGATGTGATATCTCGGATGACCAACTTAAAGAAACAAGAATC